CACCCGCTCACTACACGGCTGCATCGCCCGCCTGCGCAGCCGACAACACGACGTCGCGCTATTACCTGTACCGCCGTGGCACCTGGCCGCCCACCCTGCTGTTCGAGGTGCAGCCGGAAATTACGGCCTACCAGCTCGCCAAGATGAACCCTGTGGTCATAACGGCGCGCGACGGCCTGAAGCTTCCCGCCTACCTGACCCTGCCGGTCAAGCCCGGCGTCCCCCAAGGCACCCTCCCGCCCGCCGTCCTCGGGCCGCTGCCATCCGCAACCGGCGCGGTCCAGCTCGAAAGCCATGGGGGCGGCTCGCGCCAGGCGCTCGCGGCCGCGTCGGGGGACCCGAAGAAGTCAGTCCACTTTGCGACCCCAGCTGAGCTTGCGGCGTCCAAGGGCGCCGCAAAGCCGCTGAACCTGGGGCTGCCACTGATCCTCTACGTTCATGGCGGCCCCTGGAGCCGCGACGGCTGGGGGGCTGACGGCGTCGGCCAGTGGCTGGCCAACCGCGGCTACGCTGTGCTGCAGGTGCGGCGTGCTCGTGTTCACAAGCAAGAAGGCGGACGGAGTGCAGGGTCATCCAGCGCCTGTTCCCGCTTGCCCTGGTCGCACCTTGTCTCTCAACGCCCATGTCAAGGCAACCCCATATTTGCATGCTCCAGCTGCTTGTCGCAACAAGGCCCTATGGATCGAGTGCATGAGCCTGCGCTGGCGATGCATAACCGGTGCCGTCCCGACCCGTTCCCCTCAAAAGGTCAACTTCCGCGGCTCGGAGGGGTACGGGAAGGTTTTCCTGAACCTCGGCAACCGTCAGTGGGGCGTCGGCTCGATGCAGCATGACTTATCAGACGCGGTCAAATGGGCGGTGGACAAGGGCATCGCTGACCCCAAGAAAGTGTGCATAATGGGCGGGTCCTACGGCGGCTACGCAACCCTGGCTGGCCTGGCGTTCACGCCGGATCTTTACGCGTGCGGTGAGAGGGGTCGGAGTGATGGAGATTGTGGAGTTGGGTTGACAAGCTTGTTTGTCAATATGGTGGCTGAGTGGGCATCACGCTCAGGGGGTGGCTGTGGAAAAGCATGTGCATATGTGAGCCCTGGTCATGTTCCATGTTTCAGCCCTGCCGAAATACTCAACCACCGTTCACACACGTGCACGCCCGTGCTTGCACGACCCCCCCCCCCCCAAAACACGCACACACTCGTCCGCGTCCACGCTTGCGAGCGCGCACACGCGCATGCGCGCGCGCGCGCACACACACACACACACACACACACACACACACACACACACACACACACACACACTTACACACACACACACCCTCATCCGCACCGTCCCAGGCGTCGACATCGTGGGCATCTCCAACGTGGCGACCTTCATGAGGTCTATCCCGCCCTACTGGAAGCCCTTGCAGAACGAGTGGATCACGCGGGTCGGCGACGCAAAGAACAATGCAACGCTCAACAAGCAGATATCGCCAGTGTTCCATGTCGACCAGATCCGGTGAGTTGCGGTGTGTATGTGGGTCTTGGGAGGGGTTGAAACAACAGGACTGCGAAGCGTCTCAATTTGCTTTCACCCATGCATTCTCAAGCACACGTGAGGATGCCGTACGCTGCGAATGTGGTGTATGCTGCACATTTTCCCCAAAACTCAGCAGCTTTTCTCGTAGCGTTGCAACATTGTTAGATGGCATGTGAATGAGCCCTTGAACCCAGTCTTTCCCAATGCTCCTGAGAACCCTACGCCACTTCGCGCGCGGCTTGCCAATGCAAATGTTGTCTGCTCCCACTGCAGTGCCCCTCTACTTATTGGCCAAGGCGGCAACGACCCGCGTGTCCCCAAGGCGGAGTCAGACCAGATGTACAAGGCGATGAAGGCACAAGGGCTGGACGTCACCTACATCTGGTATCCTGATGAGGGCCACGGCTTTGTTCGGCCCCAAAATCGCCTTGATTTTTACTCCCGCGCCGACCAATTTTTTGCCAAGCACGTAGGTGGCCGCTCTGAGCCGTTGATCAACCCCAAGGGCACAAGTGCGCGGGAGGTCAACACAAAGCGGCGGCGGTGACGATGGAGCGCTTGTACACCACCCATGATTGTCTTGCCATGTGCAGATCAAGTCATTTTCACATGTGTTCTATCAACGTGTTCTGCAGCAACGTCGTGGTGGTCTCTCTGCTGTTTGGTGACAGAATGTGGCTCAGGTCTCGATGCTGGCATTCTGTGCAATTCAAGGGGCCAGAGTTTCTTCCATGACTGGGGAGCCTTCAAGCGCCTCCCTGATCCTGAGGAAGTGGGCGAGCTGTTGATTGCGGTATTCAGATGCAATGTTTGGATACTTTTCTTTGGACGTGTTTACTAAGCAACGCTATAACTGACCTGCCCACACACAATCGCAAAATCAAGCAGTATACGCTTGTTGGCCCTTCTTGGCCATTGCCCACATCCACCTCATACACAGAGACAATGCAAGTGCCTCTCACACTTAAACTTGTTTCACTGCATTTAGAGTCAGATAAGAGTAGATTTAGGCTCACGTAAATCGGCCAGTCACGGAATGCAAGGTTCGGGGGGGGGGGGGTCTTGCAGCTGCAGCTCTGCGTGGTGCCTGTGTGTCTGACAGGTCCTTGTACTCGCTGACTAGCCGCATGTTCTTTTGCTTTGCATCAACACCGAACCTCAGATGCAGATCATGGGGCCAGCCACGTTCTGTGTCTGTTCATCTGTGACAAGTGCGATGCATTGCAGCCCTTCCCCCAAACCTCTTTGCTTTGCGTTTGTCACTGAAAATCAGACTTCGACCTTGTGACCAGTCACCGAGAGCAAGGATCTGGCAAACACACAGGTACCAGGCAGGGCTGCGGCCGCGGGAAGCCCCGAGAAACCGCCATCTTCCAAGCCACAACGCCGCAGCCCTTCCCCCATCCAACCTCAAAGGCGTTGAGGGCAGAGGAGGGGAGCCCGGCACCACGCGCAAAAGCAGGGACCCATGCATAACACGTGAGCGATCAAAGCAGGGCGCGGTGCGCGCCAACCCGCAGAACGAACACAGCCACAGCGCCCGACCGCGGCTCCGGGGCGCGCATCACGCACCCATGCACAAAGTCCTGGCCATGTGAGAACAGGGTCGGCTTCACACAAGGGCCCCGTTGCCCCTCTGCTAGAGGCAAGGTCAAACACATGCACTCCAACACCCGGCGACGGCGGCGGCAGCGGCTGCTATGGCGGCGGCGGTCGCTGCAGGGCCGCCAGTGGTGGCTGGGCCGCCGTAGTGGTGTCTAATGGAGTGGGGCATGCAGGTGCTAAACTTCCAGGTCCTTTAAATTCGTGTGCTCTGACATGCTTTATGCCTCGGTCTCTCATTAATCGCGGCCTCGCTCAGGCCAGGCGCGTGTGCCGGCCTGGCATGCTGTTTCTTGTCCTGAATGGATCGTGAGCTCACTCCCCCTCGGCCCGGGCCGCTTTCGAGGTGGGGGGACGACAGGGCTGGCCAGGCGTCGGCCTTCAGGCCAAGAGGTC